ACTGACAATACAATTTTTTGAAAAATGTAACTTTTTATGAACATTTAGAATTGAGAAAATGTCTTTTCTAAGAGCGGGGGATTGTCCTAGCTCGCCTTGAACGCCTCCATTCTTTTCATTTAATTCGAAACATAAATGGATCCATTGCAAAAGCAATTAGTTACACTGTAGGAAAAATTTCATGAACATAAATTATTGAAAGACCTCCTGTGTATGGGCGGCGGAAAGGGTAAAAAAGACATTAACGCAAAACTAACAACTAATTTTAAAAACATACTGAAATACAAAACAGACCACCTTCAAACAAAATCAACAGACTCGTTTGCAGAATCAACAGACTCCGATGCAAAACCAACAATCAGCGATGCAAAACCAACATTTATTTACTGAATTGACGCTAGATGGCGTGCAAAGAGGCGCGCGAGATGTAAATTGCTATGAACGTCATGATTATGAGGGTACTTTCTTATGATATGGCGACCAACAGAATAGACGAAGAAGTTGATGTTGTAAAAAAGAATTTTATCGCTCGCTTGACCCATATCTTAGCCAGACTACACCCACTTATACACTCTAGTGACCCTAGTGTTCAATTAGAGTATGTTATGCATCAAATGCACAGTTTATGCACAGGTACTTGTGGACAGGACCCCCCCCCCCCCCCGATATTCAACCCCGAGGTTGTTCGACATTTTTTTTCAGAAATTATATTTATTACACTTATTCATCATGTGTACCATAGGAAAAAATCGTGAAATCCCCAAAATAATCGTTCCACACAAAAATACCCCACTATACATTATAAGAGAGAAAGGTATGCCACTCCGGTTTGTTTACGTTGTACCCCCACTGGTCTTTCTGGGTTTGAAAACACGTATTTATTTTATTTTAACCTAAAATGTTGGTTCACACTGTCTCTTCATATATTTCTGTCTTAGTTCATGCTATCGGATTGACTCTGCATCTCGTAAGAATCCCACATTTTCTCCATTAGCAGCATTGCATTCAGTGCGTTGAAAATCCTTATCATTTATCATTTACTGGTAAAACGGTAAATGTTGAATACAACACTAACTAACCAGTCTCGTGTTAAGGTATGGTCTTGGCCGTGGTTGCATGTTGCGGCTGAATAACTGCCTATGTTCAAGGAGGCTCGAGCTCGTCTGCTGGTTCCCTGTCGGTGTAGACCTTACCCTACCACTGCTACTGGTTTCTTGTAATAAATTTACAGCCGTTTGTAGAAATCTTGCTGCCTCTGATATGTTTGAATTTTGAGAGTCCGACATGATGCTGTTATCCGGGGTTTGCCAAATGGATGCTGATAGACAATTTCGCGGGATTTTACGTTCCTATGAAAGTACACATTTAATGATGACGTAGAAAAACTTGTGCGCCCTCTAGCGTTAATTCAGGTAATGTCTGTTTTTTTGCACGCCATCTAGCGTAAATTCAGTGAATAAATGTTGGTTTTGCATCGGTGATCGTTGGTTTTGCATCGGAGTCTGTTGATTTGACAAACGAGTCTGTTGATTTTATTTTAAGGTGGTCTGTTTTGTATTTCAGTATGTTTTTAAAATTAGTTGTTAGTTTTGCATTAACGTCTTTTTTACCCTTTCCGCCGCCCATACCTGTGACCACCAAAGATCTTAATGTAGAGTTCCCATAAATGGGTGAAAATCTTGAGGTATACACTGTAAAAACTGCGTTTAGAAAATAAACACTTCCATTACATGTTTAGACCTAAACATGTTTAACATTGTGTTTAACAGCTAAACACTTTTGTCTAAACATGTGTTATATCTAAATGCGTTTAGATCTAACACGTGTTTAGATACAAGTGTTTAGAAATTGAACACTTTTCTGTGAAGTACAGAGTTATCTTCCCGGAAATGACGCGCATATATATTTGAACGTTAATTAGAGCGGTTATCGAAACAAAGAAAATACCAACGTAAGCTGAAGAAGATGTATCAAAGGATGTGAATGATAACCGAAGTGATAACCATGAAGAGATTATGAAATGCATTTGAAAGGCAACATTACTACGATAAAAGGTCTGTTTACTATTTTTATTTTACATAAATTGACCGCGATGAGCAATGTAAATAAACATGCAGTTACAATGTAATTGTAGATCAAGATTTCCTTCAGTTATTTTGCATTTCTGAAAGCTAGAAAGGAGTATATATAAAATGTCATTAAAATATCTATATCATCAGTACTATATACATGTATAGTGTTTCATTAAAAGTTGCACAATAATAGCTATCAAATAAATGTAAAATTTCAGTGAGGAGCATACTTTTAGTATAATTTACATGTAAATTTCTTTTTTACAGGATATGGTCAATAATATAAGGCAAAAATACACGTATCAGAGTAACTGGTGTCATCACCAAGTTGTCACATTATTCAGCACTTCTTACATCCTACAAGAAACTGAATTTTGTGAAGTCTACTGTTCGGTAGTTTTGAATACCCCAAAACATTCTTATATAATGGAAATGGATTACTTCCTGACAGTCATGGATGAATAGAAATAATGTATGTGTTGCTATTGAAGGACTTGCTGGAAGTTAATAAATTTGATCAACATTTTGTTACTGACAAGAGGAAAAACTGCTTACTGAGCTGATTAGTACTGAAATTAATTATTATAAATATAAATTAAACATATTTGTATATTTAATTTAAAATTCTTTAGAATAAATCCATGATTGAATGTTCAGTGATGTTATTGTTTCTTTCCAGTAACATGGACACTTTTCAATTTAAAAAGTTTTTCTGTATATGTACATACCAGTGCTTAAATATGCTAATGAATTTCTAGGAAACTTATTTAATATGGTTTTACTTAAAAAATATCGGTTTTCTTTTTGTAGTTTATAATTTAAACTATCGTTTTGGATCCAGTGTTGTGGAACTAAACATGTTAAGCAACTAAACACTTAAAGTTTGATGTGTTTAGAAATGAGACGTGTTTAGGGCTAAACGCGTAAAAAAAGTGAAACAAATTATGTGTTTAGATATAAGTGTTTAGGGAGTAAACATGTTTAGCAACTAAACACATGAAGTCTAAACGTGTTTAGAAATGAGACATGTTTACAGCTAAACGTGTAAAAAAAAGTGAAACAAAATTGGCGTTTAGTTTTGTGTTTAGGATCTAAACACTGTTTTTACAGTGTACTTTTGGCTAAATTTGCTTTTCTGTAAATCAAGAATATTGTATTGATAAGGGTTTTATGCCCCCGTAATCGAAGATTCGGGGCATATAGTTTTTGCACTGTCCGTCCATCTGTCTGTTAAGCTGTTTGTCTCTTGTTCCGCAAAAACTTTGATCTTGCTCATAAGTTTTGATATGTTGGAGCATTTCACATGTGTATTCCTTGTGACAAGACTTTCCTTACCAACATTTTAGACCTCTTGACCGTGATCTTGGAGTTTGACCCACTTCTGCAAAATTTTACCAAACTTTAATCATCGCCATAACTTTTGAACGGTTGAAGCTAGGGCTTTCGAATTCGTATTTCACATGTGTTATTCTTGTGACAAGACCTTACCTTGGGTACCAACAATTTTGATACTTTGACCTTGAAGTTTGTGCTACTTTTGAAATACTTTAACCTTGGTCATAACTTTTGAATAGTTGGTGCCAGGGCTTTCGTATTTCACATGTGTATTTCGGGTGACAAGTCCTTCCCTTGGACATCAACAGTTTTGTCCTTGATGTTGGAGTTTGACCTACTTTTGTAAAATTTTAATCTTGGTATAACTATTGAATGACAGGTTCTGGGGGCTTTCATATTTCACAGGCGTATTCCTTGTGACAAGACCTTTCTTTGGGTACCAACAATTTTGATCTTTTGACTTTGGAGTTTGCCTTGCATTTGAGAAACTTTAACCTCTGCCGTAAGCTGCCATACGGGGGCATCAGTGTTTCACAAACACATCTTGCTTCAGCTTATGACTCTTATATAATTGTTATTTCAATTTTTTCCTTTGATATGATTTTTAAACATATTCATCAGGTACCCTACTTTGTCTAAAATTAACAACAGAATCTAACATATACGTAGACTTCCGTACTGGCAGGTGTAAATATAGCGGAAGGGGGGGGGATTTATTGACAATTATGATTTCATACTGTTTTACAAATCACGTACATTGCAGACCAGCAAAAATAAAATTCTCAAAATTCTCTCTCTCTCTCTCTCTCCAGCAATAAAATGGATGGTTTCTACACATGCTTAGATATTTAATGATCAACATACGAAGTAAACACCCCCACCCCATCCCTGCCTCTCCTCACCACACACACACACATCAATTTGCTTACCAATGTACACATGCACATTGTGCATGCATATCAAGAGCTTTTAATGGACCCATGGTCAATCTTTGATAATTAAAAATATCATTGATTGGATGTATAATACAGACTGATTTATAAATAGACATGTCAATCAAAGTTAATTTTTAATAGTATTCATTAAATTTTAGAAACAGAGTTAAAAAAATATACAATTAAATTTAGTAATATCCGTAAAAGCCGCAACATTTCCCTCATTGTCATGGTTCTGTCTATTTTTTAAAAAAGAGTTAGTCCCAACGAAAAATGTAATAATCTAGTAAATTTTTTTTATAATTTTGCGTTATTACATTCTGCGTTGATCTTGACGCAAAATGTAATAACGCAAAATGTAATAAACCCAGTTTATTACATTTAGCGTTGTTATTACATTTCGCGTTGTAAAGCCAAAAAGAGTCTTATATTGCTTAAATACATGTAAAAACTTTTGATCAACTGTCCACTTGTGAATCCATATTGTTACGATTTGACGTCTACAAGATATTTGGCAATACTAATTAAGGTTTCCCATATTATTTGACTTAACGACAATTCTCTATCCACAGGTTTAGTTTTGTTTATAAAGTACAACATTTGTTTGCATTTCATATTCTAATAACACATGTGGTTTCTATTTTTACTTTAATTTTATTTTAAAATCTTTCATACAACCATAATAACAAGTATCATTATAACATGATTACTGACCAGTACATACAATGCACATGTTCATAACAGTGATATACATTTGGCAAAAACAGGATTGGTGTATAAACAAGACTATCTCAACGAATGTCAACTATTGCACAAATTAACAAGTCAGAGAGAGTGCTGAAAATGCAATCACAAAAGGTGAACCTCAAGTTCTTCGCCATCTTGAACTTCCCTCCATTGGTTTTTCAGAAGGAGCATGAACTTGTTAATGTCTCTAGGACTCTGAACAAGAATTGTGGTTTCTATTTCAGGGGGCGACAGACGACCATTAGAATTATTTTCCAAACTGAAATGGTCCGATGACGTATCCACATTGATTTCATCAGGTTCATCAGAGAATATCAAACTAAGTTTGTGTTCATTGTCTTTGAACATAAGTACTCGCTTCAAATGACTTATTTTCATTGTGTTGGTAACTTTGTACCTGGGAGAGTTTGGAAGTCCTCGTGCAAAATCAGGAATAGGATAGTTAATGACATCTTCCAGGATGAAACAAAGATACTGATTGGTCAAGACCATACTACGGGATTCTACATGATCGACTGATCCTGCATGGTGTTCCTCTGTAGCTAAGTAACCAATCCAATACATCAGAATATCAGCCTTTCGTTTGGCAGTGACTGGCAGTTTGAGATGCTCAGTAATTATATACAAGAGATCAGACATAACATCTTCCCCAGGGTAGATGAACTGAACTTTACTGGGGTGTACATATTCCATTCCATCAACAACTGTTTTAGTCCTCCTTTCAAAGGCCCTGTAGAAATCCTGCTCTAAGTCAGATGAACTCTTGTCCAACATGGGTGAAGATGTGAATATTGAAAGCATCGTAGTTAGTTGATTTAGAAACTTTTCTGTTACTGCACTATCACGGGTTACTAAAGTATTTACTGTGTGCCTGTCATGACCAGTAAGTCGTACACACTGATCAAACAACCCAACATTGACCTGATGGAGGTCTGAGTACTTCAAAATGTGGTACGGTCGGATGATTGTACCTCGCTGACTGTTGTGAATGATTCCTGAAGTATGGTGGTGGTCCATCTGAACAGGTTGCTGACCTAAGACAATGGAATCAGATTTGTGGCGAGTGTGGGTCATCCATGACTGTCTCTCTTTCATGGGAGACTTGACCAACTGGTTGGACACAAAATACACAGCTTTGGTGCTAAGCATCACACAGGAAATGATTTCGGAATGAGGACGATCATAGGGAATTACGACAGACCAAAGTACGAAGTGAAGTTGTTCGTAATCCACCCCAATCATTGCAATGTCAGAATGGAAATACTGCACAAGTTCTTTCCCAGTCATATTTCTCAGAGCTTTCAATTTAGATGGCATCTTCTTTGCTAGAGAGTATTTCTGGATGGTTTTGGTCAGCTGCTCACAGAGTTCATCTGTAAGATAATCTATTTCAGGTACTTCTTCCTTTGCTGGTGAGACTTTAAGTGTAACCCCAGACACAGTAGCCGCACGACTTTTGCAAGATTGCTCCTCAGTCTCTGCCATTGTTCCAGCAAGAAATTCTTGTTCTACGGCATCTGGTGTGATTTCCTCTCTTAAACTGTCATCTTCTTTTTCCACCAAGGCGTCATTCTGAGGTTCCTTTTGGGAAGGAACAGCAAGCTGTGTTGAGCTTGTATTGTCAAGGCTGTCAGAAGACTCATTTCCCCCTTCTGGTTCCTCTCTTATAGTTGGTGACAACCTATGTGCATGCTCAGCTCTCAAATTGGTCAATCGATCCAAAAATCCATCCCTGGCTTTGGTTGAATAGAAGTAGAGATGCAAACCAACTGGACCCACTAATTCATGGAATATAATGGACAAACCATATTTTTCAAATTGTATAGGGGCAGTATCCATAGCAGATGTTTTCTTGGATCTGGAGGAAAGCTTAAGTTTCACATTCAATTTAATGTCACTCATTTTGGCTGTTATGGAATGATGTTGAAGGAATGTAAAGTTAGGATTTTTTATGTCTTCTAGCACACTTAGGAAAGAAGGCCTTGGCCAGAAAAGGCAGTCTATGTGGACAAGGTAAACTTTGTTCTCTGACAATATCAGGAGACTTGGTTGCTCTACCCCTGCAATGGTGATATACATTCCATAAGCTATTCGTCCTGTGCAAAGTCCCTCCAAATCTTCTAAAGAAAATATATGGGAGGCTAAGTCAGAGTTTTGTGAACAGTTTAAGAGATTGAGAGGCCCCAGGTCCCCATCGCTGTAAGCTGATGTGATGCTGTCGGAGAACGACTTCCCATCATCAGAGTCTGCCACTATCAGTACAAATGTACCACTAGCTCCAACAAAAGACTCCTCCAGTCTGATATAGCTGTAGCATGGACCAATCACTATCTCCTGTACATTACAAAGGGGTAATATATAAAAGGTCTCAATGTCTGGCACATCAGGGTACCCACTTTCTCCTGGCTTCAGTCGTAAGATGAAGATTCTCCTCTGAGACAGAACAGCACAGCAAGGAACCAATGACTCTTGTCTGGTGAACTGAATGACACCACACCAAAGAACATTCAGAACTTGTTCCACAATAGCACCAGGTTCAGCATCTTTGCCAAAAAGTCTTTGCTGTATCCAGGCCATGAATTCTTGATCTTGTTGAGTGGGTAGTGAGCTGATGGCTATTGTGGGGGGGTTAGAAAAGTCATCTTGGGACAACGTCCGGTATCGGGGCCGTTGTTCCCTACAACAAAAGTACACAGTAGATGTTATATCATACAAAAGTCAATCATTGTAAACAAAATCATCTTTCATTCATTGAAAGTCTTTTTGAGAAGTTCCATTTTAATTCCATTTTCAGAAGTTAAATTTCATTCTTAATGACATTCAGTGCAAAATGATTAAAGTGCAAACCAGTACAATATATATATACAGATGATTACTGATGAAGCTATTCAAATCACAAGCAACACAGCAAATTCAGCTCACTTTTGTAAATAATATGCTTTTCAGAAAAAAAAACTTCAGAATAAAATTTTGTATTTTGAGATTTCAACATTCTTCAAAATGGAAAGTCTAAGGAAGGTAAGAAAAAAATTGCTGAAGGGATAAAAGATAGAAACTAAGACCAACCCCGTATGGTTCCCTTCACTTCCTGATAAACTGGATCTACTGGAATGGCGGCTAGGATCCTTTACCAAAAATAAAATTATACACATTTCAGCTTGTGGAAAGGGGCACCTGTATTATCGTCATAGAAACACAATGTAGGAAATAAACATTTCGGAAATTATGAACAATCAAGAGCATTGATTTTGAAAAAAATTTGGGGGGTCCAAAAAAAATGAAAAAGGGAATGTGATTTGTACTACATAATTATTCAGTCCTACAAAAAGTTTTACTTAGAATCTTTTTTTAATTCATTTTTTTATTTAAGCTTGAAACCTCACCTCATTATATTCCATTTATTATTAGGGATGTCAAAATATGTATTTTCCTTAGTCGATCATTCGATTGCGTTATTCGAACGATAGTCGAATATTCGGAACATTTTATGAAAATAAAATTTCATTTCATACTTCATTGATTTAACTTAAATCTATTTAAAAAGTAACATCAAAATTAATGCAACGTAACGCGTGGATAGCATGATTCTATGAAATAAATTTAGAAACCTAATTCTCCAAAATTTATTATTTCCCCGTAAATAGAATTTACAAATCGGCCCGTACATGCAGTCATTTTTTACTTAGTAAGCATTAAAAATTTCCAGCCTATATTTTTTAAAGCTTATTATGAAATAAAATGGGGGGGGGGGGGGCTATCAAAATGTCCTCAAACAGTTTAAAATGTAAGCGCATTGTTTTAATAATTATCGATGTATCAATTCCATTCAATTCTTTATTTTCCTTATGCCATATAGCACATCAGACAGTATGATACAATGAATATAAGCAAAATGTACAGTAATGCATGCTTATTTCAGTACACTTGCTATATTGTATATATACTTATAGACACATACATATATAGAACTACTCAAATCTTTCTGTTATCATCTTCGCTAGCCAAGGGTTTCTGATATGCTACTCTCCGCTTATGAGGAGAGCAGCGTATCAGAAACCCTTGGCCAGCGAAGATGTTCTGTTATATATATTAAATATTTACATACTGTACATACTATATGCTACAAACAGTTCAGTAGTTCTAATTTTCGTTGTGAAGCGCTGAACAAAAATCTTCCCAATTTAGACATTTCTTTGACATTTTGAACACTTAACAATTGTATTAGTTTAAAGACTCCAGGTTTTTTAACATAATACTGTTTGATATATTGTATTCTGAGATCATGAAATACAGGACATTTTAATATAAAATGGAATTCATCTTCTACATCATTCAAGTCACATAATAAACATATTCTGTTATTTCTATTTTCATTTACATATCGATGTATCAAAACAGGTTTATTCCTTGCATTTGAGCAAACTTAAAATAACAAAAGATAATTGGTACATGGTATAAGATCAAGTCCAATTAATAATTTTACAAACAAAGCCCATTATATTGGTTGGTAATTTATTACAAAAACAACACAGGCAGTTAATGACAATTAATTCTTGCAGTAGTGAAGCACTTATAATTGCTGTACTTTCTATACGTACATGGAAAATCTACTTTTTTTTGTTGAGGAAAATTATCGACTGTCTATGAGAAAAGACTGTTTCTCATTTTTTTTATGAGAATTCCATCTCATCTATTACTCATTTATTGCATTTATTTAGTTAAAATAATATTCGAATGTCGTTTTATTATTCGATCGTTGGTCCATTCGACTGATAGTCGAATAGTCGACTATTCGTTGACATCCCTATTTATTATCCAAGTGAGAGTTTTGTAATTGTGAGTTCTAGGAAGATTAAGATTAGACTTTAAAGGAAGGAGAAGAAATGTTAATGTGCTTAAGATTAGAACTTTATCATATCTAGCAGGACATGCATTGAATTTTAAGAATTTCTGCATACAATTCCTTAAGTAAGAAGCAGGCATATGGAAAAACCCCTGAGAAATGAGAAAGCTTCATACTGCACAATGCTTGATGAATAGTATGGTTTATATGATTTTCAAAATACAAGAATATCCTTACCTTGACTTGACTAGCATCAGATCCAGTACGTGATGAGTTGGGAGAATCCACATCTGAAACACTGGGTGTGGCATTGAAAGATCCATGTGTGCTCCAGCCTAACTCTAAAACAAAATGGAAAAGCAGAGAATTAACAGATACTGAAACTCATCAGTAGCTTAATTTGCCAAGAAATACATTTTTTTTAACAAATTCCATTCACAATATTATACATGTAAGTTTAAGTCCTTAAAAAATCAAATGTATAATTTATCATTATTTTTTATTTACTGAAATTAAAAGAATCAATTCAAAATTCAAAGAATTGTGGTTCCCCGCTTTCAATGTCATACTGGATGCCATTATTTATGGCATATAGTAACTGTCTTCGTCAAACTTCAAGGTCAAAGTCAAGGATATTATATTTGAAAAGGTCTTGCCACAGGTAATATACATGTCAAATATGAAAGTCTTACCTCTTCTTAATCAAAATTTATAAAGAAAAAATTAATTTTTTTTGAAAAGAAGGTCAAACTTCAAGTTCAAAAACCATAGTGCATTTGGAAAGGTCTTGTCACAGGTAATACACTTGTATAATAAGAAAACCCTACCTTTTCTCGATCAAATTTTATAACCAATTTAAGGTTATGTTAAAATTTTTGAAAAGTAGGTCAAACTTCAGGGTCAAGGTCACAGGGTCAATAATCATAGGATATTTGGAAAGTACTTGTCACAGGTAATGTACATGTCAAATATGATAGCCCTATCTCTTCTTAATCAAAAGTTATAACCAAAGATTAAATTTTTGAAAAGTAAGTAAAAATTCAAGGTCAAGGGGTCAAAAGTCATAGTATATTTACAAAGGTCTTGTCAAAGGTAATATACATGTGTAATATGAAAGCCCAATCCTTTCTCATTCAAAAGTTATGACCAATTTAAAGTTATGTTAAAATTTTTAAAAAGTAGGTCAAACTTCAAGGTCAAAGGTCAAGGGGTCAAAAATCAAAGTATATTTAGAGAGGTCTTGTCACAGGTAATGTACAGGTATAATATGAAAGCCCCATCTCTTCTCCTTCAAAAGCTATGTCCAAGGTTAAAGTTCTTGTGACAGACAGACTGACAGACAGATTGATAGACGAATGAGATTTATTGTCCCCTCGCTTTCGCGAAAGCAGGGGATAAAAAAATTACATGAAGACATTTATCATAAGAGTGTCCTTTAACATAGAACAGCTCTTTACCTGGTGTAGCTGGAAGCTTTTCTTCAGTACCAGACAGACTGGATTGTCTAGAACCACTGGACTGCAGTTCACTTGCTGACAGCTGTTGAAAGAATTTCAACATATTTTTATTTTTGTTTCTGCATTTACCCAACTTCTAATTTTTATTTTATTTGTCAATGAAGAATTTCCTAGAGTCTAATTTTTCTGAGAGAAGTGAAGACATTCTATACCTTCCTGTTGGTGCCTATTTTAACCTTGTTTTCTTTAGACTTCCTGATGGCCTGTAGTACTGCCACCGTGTCCAGTTCCTTCTGTGTTGGCTTCATGTCGTCTAATCTTACCTGAAGGTGAAATAAAAGTAAAAGCATTGTACAAAATATTGGGGAAATAATTGTTTGTTGCTGACCTTTTTAGTCCACTGCATTGGAGCTATATATGTAAAAGCTAACTACTAGCATTCATTCTGTTCAACATATACAGTGAATACTTAGTAAGAGACTAAAAATGCATGTATATTGTACAAAGAATTTCATTTCATAAAGGACAAAGTCATACCTCTACTATCAACATTTGTTACAAATACATCCCACTGTGTAAAAGCTTGTTACAAATATACATTATCATATTTGGATGCTTGATCTATCCTGTTTTTACATCTTGTTTAACTTCAATAAAAAAGAATAAAAATGAGGGATTAATAAGTCTTTTTTCTGAAGGTTTATCACCTCTAAGACTCTGTCCCCACATTGTTCTAGGATCTTGGTTCTGTAGTCCAGGACATGGTTCACTGGGTTTCCTTGAAGATAAAGATTCTCGATACAAGGGAGACAACACACATACTGTACCTCAGTCACCTTAAACACAAAGTACACAAAATTGTCACCAAACATTAAGATGTGTCATAATAACAGGATGTTCTTAACATGGCTTCCCAAATTTTTGTTTACAAAAAAATGTCACTAGTTTACATTACTATGAATAATTCAGTTTCCCACCCACCCCCTTTTTTGTCACAAAATGCATAATGTTCATCCTTCATTCTTTTCGCTTGCACTTGTCAATGAATACATACATGTAAATAAAAACCAAATCACCTGTGACAGCTTGTTATTCCTTACGTCCAATGTTTCCAAGGAGTAAAGTTTGGACAAACCTAATTAAAGATGAACAGTGAAGCAAGGTAAACATTAACGTAACATGTCCACAGCAACCACTGTCTACTTATGAAAAAATACACTGCAGAATATGGACCAATAAAATACTCATACACTCAATATCACTGCATTGACATTATTTTGTTTTCTTTTAAATGTTATAAATCAATTTTGTTTTGTTTTTTTAATCATCTTATGTTTTCAGTCTTTTTCAAAGCCACAAAACGTCATGATTTTTTTTTAAAGAAAAATACTTTCTGTATGTTTAAAAAAAAATATTCTGTTGCTATCAAAAATATTGATTCTATCTTCAAATAAGTTCAAGACCTTTGAGGCTCTCGAGTTTGTTCCCAGAGAGGTTGAGTATTTTGAGATTTCCTATCTTGGTGTGAAGTGAGTCAAACTCCTTGATCTCATTGTTTGAGAGGTCGAGCTGAGTGAGCTGACTGAGCCAATTCAGATGCTGGACACCGCTCAATCTGTTGTGACTCAAGTCCAACACCTCCACACGAGGGATCAGTTGCTGAAAGTAGAGTCAAATCTGGCTAAAAAGTACCGTCAAAACTGGCTAAAATGTACAGTCAAATCTGGCTAAAAAGTACAGTCAAATCTGGCTAAAAAGTACAGTCAAATCTGGCTAAAAGTACAGCCAAATCTGGCTAAAAAAGTACAGTCAAATCTGGCTAAAAAGTACAGTCAAAAATGGCTTAAAAGTACAGTCAAAAATGGCTTTAGCCAATCACCAAAAAGAGCTAAGGTTAGACTGCTCTATTACATCAATATCTTAAACTGATAATATCCAGTTAACATTATTTCTATTAATGGGAAAAAAATAGAACTTAATTAATTTTCTAAAAGATGGCTAAAAGGAAATGAAACGTGACAGATAAGTCAATTTTCATGAATTGAGTTCACCAGTTTATTTATATATTATCAATTTATTTTCTTCATAACCTGCTCTTAATAGACAAATCCAAAGTAAAACATGTTTATAGCTGACAAGTGTACTGCAACTTCACGCTGACAACCCCAAAAATATTATTCATCCCGTACCAGAAAATTAATGAGTTACTGATATAATTGGATAATATTGCAATTCATTGCACTGTTCTCCATTTTTCTTAATGTTTAAGTAAACTGGATAGACATGTATTTTATACATTGCTGTTAAAACAAAATACCCTATCTTGTTTCTGAATATTTATTAATAGAGATTGTTTGTTGTTCATTGGTTACATAGTTCACAGCTGAATTAGAAGTCATATTTATTTGCATTGCCAATGTGTTTACATGTATGTGTAAGTTTGGTGAAGACAGTCAACAGATGATAACTTTTGTCATTACTGGGTAAATATTTATAAATCCCAGAATACAAGGGTTGTCCATAAAGATCAGAAACAAATGTTAGAATTTTCTTAATAATGAATGGCAAATGTGTACAATATTATTTTGATATAGACCATGAATTAGAAAATGTATAACAGTTAAAACAATACACACTATTTTATGAAAGATTACGATGTACATGTATACAGATTGCACATGTATATGCAAGCCGCAAGGCCCAGTCTGACGTTAAGCTAGTTTCATGATAACATCAAATATAAGCATTTTGAATTTTTATCACTTATTCATTGACACATGGTATTTTTCTTTATTATACCACACTGCTAAATGTCTGCGATAATATTAACATATAGACCATAACACAATAAACTTTTAAAATTCAAAACAATTTTCAATAATTTACGAGCATTATCAATATAAACACTTCATATACACAGGCTGCACAATCCAGTCATATGTTGCGCTAGATTTATAACAACATCATGAAAAGGGACATCCTATTTCATCATATATCAATAGATTTCCACTTCTTGTACTGTCTCTCAAATTGTACACACCGTTCAAAAATCATATAAATCAATTTCAAGTCATTGAATGAACTAAATATATTCCAATAAAAAATAATTTTAATCGGAAAACTTTATTTCAAAGTTTCTGACATTTTATCCCTGGGCCATGCGCACTATCTGTAACCTTTAAATACTGTGATTACAAAAATACAAGTTAAAATAACCAAAACCAAAGTATCCTGACTTGGATTTTCATAACAAATATTTTGGAATACAATAAGTATATCTATGACCATTCAGTTTGACAATAACGTCATTGTCTACAAACTTTTTGAACAACCCTCGTATTGGCAATATATCCCACATCCATAGTATAAGGGCTCAACTTTCACAGACTTACCACACTGTCATCAATCTCCCTGAGGGAGTTACGGCTGAAGTCAGCCTCCACCAGATTGTCCCAGTGGGTGACCAGCACTGTCCCATCCTCCGCCTTCCACTGCTTCAAGCCATTTAGCACCAAGTCCTAGGAAAACATTCACAACAACATTTGTGATTTAATGTTGTCTACTTGTATAAAATAAGCCAATATTTGTAAAATGAAATCTTGCAGGATTGAATTTTTGCATTTGAGCCACACAAACATACATTACTTATCCTTCAGTAACAAAAAAACAACGACACACAAGTGTTCTGCCCTACATGAAAATGAACTCTTCCAGATACTGAACATTTTTCTAAGAGCAACAAACACATTGTTTACATTGGTTTCTTTTAAAAATCAAGAGTATACAATGACTTTTTGTTCCAAATACCCGATGACCTACTGACCTTTGTGTACTTACCCTTATGTAGGTCAGACCCTGTTGTATACTGACTTTTTCCAGTGTCTCCTTTATTGTTTCTATTCCCAGTATATTACTGACATGACAACATTCTGTCTGTAAATCAAATTCACATTCCATTCAGCCTCACACAAATCATAAACATAGTCTCTATAAAGTAATATATTATATCAAAGTATGTGTATGTGTGACGAAAAACTGCTTTTTTGTCCAATTATTTCAAAACTGTACTGTAAGTCCTTATGTTAAAATCTCTTGACATCCAATACTTATTATCATTAGGGGGAATCCATTATTAAAGGACCTACTATCACGCTATTAATTACATTGGTGCCTTGTTAATCAGAACAGCTATATCCCGAGCAAAAGCATGTATAAATAAAGCATCCCTATAAATGAATTACTTCTATAGATTACCATGGGATCACTGGATATCATATATATTTTAAAATCTTTAAGATTCTACGGATCCATTTGTTGTTAAATAAAGTCCCTTATACATGTATGTACCATACCTCAAGACATTGTAAGGATTTGAACAGAGAGAGGTCAAACTTTAGTTGTGTCATGTCAATGTTACTGGTTCCTACCCGCTCACGGCTACCAGCTACCTGTAATAAATATCACACAAGATTAATAAAACCAATTACGCACAGTGAAGCCACATTTGTCAGGATGGCAATAATCTGATTCTTCTCCTTCTGGACAAAATTCTTTATTACATTTTCAACAGTGAAGAAATACTGTATTTTATTTATTGAATAAAAGTGATATCTTGTCACAGTGTGAAAGGATATAAAAATGATAATCTGTCACAGTGTGAGAAAATATCATATGTGCGGCAAAATTCTTAATTTTCCTTCCCCTAATAAACCATCCTGACAAAGACTACGAGGGGTTATCAAAAAGTTCGTGGACTAGCGCCATAAAATTAAAACCGCTTTAGGTACATCAATGAATTTTTACACATTTAGTTAGCATCATCTTTTCTATCTATAGGATAAACCATAAATCATAAGTTTTATTTTTTAATAAATTGTTAATGTTTTTGTAAGCAATTGTATGTCCAGGCGGCGCAACCTCAAATATGACGTTTTTTTCTACTTGAGTGTAACTGAAAAAAAAACTCTTTTAATACGAGCATTTGTCCTCAAAAAATCCCGTTAATTCAGATATTTGGTACGACGCAATTGTTCCGTAAAATTTGCAATTTTTACCCCATTCTGTAAGTTCTATGAAATTTTATCGTAAGTTTTATATGGAGTGTCCAAACAATTAAGGGCTTGAAAATGACGTCAAAAAGGGGGAGGGGTTTCTTTTTCCTACATTCTACATTGTTTTGCACCTGGAAAAACTGGTATAGACCTAGGGAATGTTTAAACAGGCTACAGAAAAATAAAATGCATCCAAAGTACTCGTTTTAAATACCCAAAAAGATTCAGAGAGATGAAAGATGCACAGTTAATGTCGATTTGTAGTTATTGTGTCAAAAGTCAGTCACGTCGAAAAGTGACGTTGATCATGTGTGGTAGAAAATGAACTCCAACAAGCGAAGTATTCTGGCATAATCAAGTTCGGATCTTTCCCTATGTATAGATCCATTTACTATATTATATGCATTGAAAGCAGCTGTTCATGACATTGTAAAGTCATATAAACAAGACGGGATTAAGTCTTACTTATTACTCCAGGTAATTTCATCAAGATAAGTGTATGAAGTAGATAGAGCGGTCATTGAGAAACAATGACGTTGTCGGACGTCATGAAACAAAACGGCGACAGCGCCGGGTGATCATATAATGTCTTTTTTATTTTAGAATAATTTGGCAAATTATCAATATATCGAGCTAAAATTTTCAACATTTCTTAAACTTTTGTTGATTTATGTTCCCTATAAATTTTGTAAGCACAGACTACATAGTATTAATTTTATCGAATCAGTCCACAAACTTTTTGATAACCCCTCGTATACTGCCAAAGTTTCTTAAGGACGACGGACCTAATTCAAAATTTCGCACCACTGCACAGAAATCCGCGCATATGCCTTGAATCAAACTGACTTAATTATGTATTGCAAAAGATAAAAAATATTCATTTTTAATTCATTTAAAGATATTCAAACTCAAAAATATTGTAAATATTTCGATTTATATTCATTTGTTGATTTTATAAATAAATGATTTATTTGGCCAAGGTATCTTTATTGAAAATTTCCCCCAAAATGTGCCCTACACCTGAGTTTGACATACCCCCCTGAAAAATCTAAGCCCATGACCTGCGCGGCATTTATTTTTTGGCATAATTTGCTGGTAAATTGTCTTGTTAACATTGTCCTTTAAGTTTAATATGAATAAAAATTCTATTGCAGAATTTTTTCAATGATCACTCTTATACCCTACACTGGCATTTCCCCATTACTTCCTATAGTAATTATCGATTTCCATCGCCAATTTTTGAAACGCTCCCCATTAAAAATCTACATCAATGACCATATGATTTTTTTATTGATTAAAGTCACTTTACCTCATATTAAAATTTGAATAAAAAATCTACTGCAGAAATGAATTAGGTCCGTCATCGTTAAAATAACTTGTTAAAAATCTATGTTTACAATGTTTTCTATCTTGCAATCACTTAGCTATGACGTCTCAACTGCTCAACTATGACTTCACAGCCTATAACACTGTGTTACAAAAAGACAGAGGCAAAGGGAAAATCGAAGAAAATGTAATAAACAGAAAATTCAATGTTTTGTTGTTGAATATGGAATTTATTTCACTCGTGAGACAGGATTTTTTTTATATATATTCACTCGTGCTTCACACTCTTAAAAATAACGAAAAATCCTGTCTCTTTTGTGAAATAAATTCCATATTCAACTACAAAACATTGAATATCCTTTATATATTCAATTCATGCATACCAAATATGTTTCAGTAATCCAGATGACTGGGAACACAAGGGTCTGGATTAATGAGCTTGACTGTAATCCCTATTTGCAATGAATTAATCCGTAATGATTGCATAAAATTAACTTGAAAAAATATGAATACAAAAACTATCTTCATTTTTTTTTAGTATTTATATTTTTAAATATTTTTTTCTGCTTAATGCTACTGGTAATGCTACGGACTATTGGTAGGTGATAGCTAGTCCATCCACAAAGATAAGGTACGGACCTCAGACCTCCATATTTTTAAACCTCTGTGGCTATGAGTCAAGCATGAACACTTTTTCTTAGAAAAAAAATTCTGTAAAACTTCCTAACACAGGTATATGTGTATCCACAAAGCAAATTTTGTTTAGTAAATGAAAATAAATGTGCTACATTTAATACAATGCCTACCTTCAAGCACTTAACTCTTGTGATAAAATCCAGAATATGTCCAATGTCTTTTTTCACATCACCACTCTCTAAAATTGATAAAAATAAATGTTGTTAAAGTAGTAAGAACCTTCCTAGAAATGTATTATTAAGATAACAGATTACAGTGGTACATGTAACTAACTATGTGATTGAAATTAATGCTTTTCCAGTAGCTTTCAAAAATGACATTACAACCAAAAAATTGACTGAATAACTACACTGTATCTGCACATAAATGGGTCATGACTTTGTATTTTAATTAATTCCTATTTTTATTTACAGTAATACAGTGACCTACTTTTCCAATTTCAAGAAAGTAAGAAAATGATAGATCACATTTTACAAAAAATTATCTTAAAATTGAATAAAATTCTGTTGGAATTGCACATTCAAGGTCAGGAGATGACAGGTCTGTGAGAATCATCTGTAACTAATCAGGTCAACTATATAAAGGCATCAACATGATCATGATCAATGTGTGAATCATTCAAATTTCTCTCAACTGGTGAAGGAGAAACTAAAATCATGCTGTCCTGTCAAATCAGTATTATTTCAGTATTGATTTACATCAGTTAGATAAGAAATATACAGAAGCAAAGATTTACTAATGTATTTATCACAAAAACAGATTTTTAATCATAAAGCTGTTTTTTTTGTTCTGTTTTTTGGGGTTTTTTTTACCAAGATCAGATGTTCAGATAAAAAAAAAATTATTTCAGATCTGTTTCCCAGACACTCATTTCCTAAAAAAACGTTGTTCCCTTCTCATCTTCACCTGCAGGTGGATGAAAATTTTTAGCAGGACAGTGTATTTCTTGTAATTTGTCTTTAAGAAAATACATTGTATATCATACACATGCAATTTTAGCAGGATGAAGTTAAATGTACCAGCCTCAAAGCACAACAGCATCACAATATAACTTATCTGTTTTGAACACAAAGCAAATTTACAGTCACTGTGATGTACTTAACAAATTTTTGTTTATAACAGATATTGTGTATAGATCCAATGCAAACTCTGCACTGAAAATACTAATAAAGACCACAGCCCTATGTACTGGTGCCTGCCCCCAATGAACAATGTGTACTTTTGAGGACGTCATCTAGTATATGTACATTCTTTTTATATACCCGACTTCAATTCCATTCTTCAGTTACATATTTTCTTTCAATGAGCTACACATATTCAAAATGACAGCTTTGGTGGTAAATATGGTGGGGGATTCTAATGTGCTTCATATATGATTAGAAATCTTGTGTTCAGTGAATATCTCATATACATGTAATTCAGAACAGAGTACGAGTGCTGAATAAATTCAACATACCTTCTACATTAATCAACCACAACCCATGCATATGAAAGAAAATATAAAAAATAATAAATAACATAGGACTGTACTAAATAAAATAATATGAACACTTTAAAACTCACTTAATAACATTCATGCTTGCAATATAAATAAGAGGTGTACTTATTCACTGAAAGATTTTTTTTTAGCTTGCTGATGATGAAAATTACAAAAGTGATTTAATGACTACAATTAATTATGTGCAACATTAAATTATATTTTTAAGCAGTCAGCATATATACTACATTGTTATCAAAATAAACAAAGAAATAGAGTTCCAGATAGAATGGTGTCCATTTCTATTCTTTTCCCCATGTTTACATGTATATGAAGAAATTACAAGAATTAAAAATTTTAATAAATGACCTCTGGAACTCTATTGAGCTATGTGGATTATAAAGCATGGTATTTTCTGTGAACACAACAAACAGCTTACCACAGGTGGGCTCTGGGAGTTTGAGTCTCTCTGTCAGGGAGTACATCTGAAGGGGGGTCACCAAGTAGGGGTCCCGTGACTGTAGAAGGATGTCACCTATTCATCATATGACCTCATTAGTAATGCACAAATACAGTAAAACCTCGTTATCTCGATCTCGATGGGACCAAGGAAAAATTTAGAGATATTTGAGGATTCGAGATATTGAAGATAAAATACTTTAAGAATGAGTAGTTGGGACTTCCAAATCACTTCGACATATCCATGGTGTTCCAGATATCAGTGTTCAAGATACTGAAGTTCATCTGTATAGCCAAAAGGCCAACAGTGTATCGAACATTTAAAACATTTTTTATTTCTCATGATAGAATATGTATTTACATCTCTAAATGTACCCCCATGCATTATTTGTCTTATTCAAAACAAACTGATAAGTTTGACGGAAATTAAACCAAAAAGAATTATGTTGTATACATGACTTAAAGATATAGTTAGTGAAATTCACCTCTGTTGTATAACTCCTCTGCCATGCACTGTGTGATGCCATGAATTTCCTGAAATTATAAAATAATTCTTAAAACAAATTGAATTCATTTTACAATCTCTTTAAAAATGGAACTTTCACATTTTTTTTTATTTGGTAATGTGATGTTTCAATAATGTAATATAACTATCTGTACATGTAATTTACCATCACATATATGACAAAAGCTGTGAATAGGTTGAATTAAATATGGAGAGAAAAAAAATTGTCCATAAATATACAGAATCATCTTACATATTTGTCGAATTGTAAGAAGATGGCCAGGGCAGATGGGACTTTATGAGCTAGGTAGTACAGCATGGTCTGAAGATAAGCCTCCAAGTCTGCCTGTCGCTTCTTTATAAATGATTCACTCTGGTTCCCAAACATTTTCTTTGGTGGTAGCAGACACTTGTCCACTTTACAGGAATATACAAGCTAAAAGCACATTATACAAAATATTAAGGACTCATCGGCACCTAGAAATTCTATTTTGACAAAATAATGACATCATAAATAGTTTAGAACTAGTGTGTGGTCTACCTGATCATGTAAGTCGTGAAAGTCATTGTAACGATGCTTGACTCTCCAGACGTAGTGTCCAACAGCAACTTCTATGATGTATGTCTGAAAAAATAATATGTGTGTACACTTATCAAACATCAATTAAATTCCTGTTACCATTTTGTATGATGATTAGCTGGTAGAGCACCTGACAAGTGATGCAGGTCTCTCAGGTCTCCATTCCCAACCCAGCCAAATATTTTCTCCAAGACTGATATCCACTGCCAAAACCATTACATTCCTCTCTTCTTAATATGTTTTAATTCCCCATCAAAGACACAACCCAAGTTCTTTAGCCCCTCTAAGGACTTTTACCTGCAAGACTATGGATGGTAAAAGGTACCAAATTATGTAACAGGAAAGGAGAAAATGTATGACTGGACAGGGAATTGAACCTGGAACCCCTGCATCACTAAACTGCAGGTGCTCTAACCACTGAGCTATACCCAGGTCTATATTCACGGCCAAAACCATTACAGCTCATTTAAGTCTTCATTAAAGGTGAATGTTGATTTAGTTGACATATTTTATATTTTTAGTAAAGCCACGATCAACAGTTTTAGTAAAAAATATATTGCATCAGGAGATTGATCAAACACAAATTTGGTAGGAAAAAAATTCCACTCAGCTGTATGATGCCACTGAGTTGGTCTGGCTACGGGGAAACAAACATAACTGTTTTAGGCTTTCTTATATTACCTTGTGGGCATGATGATTGAAGAAAAGTTCAAATTAAGTTTAACAAAGGAGACCAGGAATCATATTTAATCCCTCAGGGTCCTACTTTTGTCTTTTTCCCTCTGCAAAACTAAGTCCTAAATCTTGAAAAAAAAAAATCCTTCAAACCCAACCCAAAATTTTGGGAAAATATTGGTTTCCATGGGATCAAAATTACACCACTGTACACCAAACAAGTAAATTTGTTTTCAGTAAATGTATTAAAATTAGCAGATAAGTGTCTGAAACTTGTTACTGTTGATTAATAGGCCCATAACTATTCTGGCGATGCAGGTAGTCCTCAGAAGTATTTTCGCTTTGACTATTCGAATTTTTTTTTACTGTCAACTATAAATTTCAGAAATCTGTGGATACTTTGCCATATCATTTCTTTTATATCATTAATTATCTCAAATGATTTGGAGTTTCGATCATATCCAAGTTAAAATCATAAATTCCAATCCCAGGACTAGCTGGACTAGCTAACAGGCTAACGATAGACACTTGACAGATCTCAATGGGCCTTTTCTTTTCTCACCGTGAATTTTTCATTAGTTTCAGCTCCAACAATTCTAATGGTTCTTGTAGCACTAAAATTGTCTACATCTTTTCCGAAGTGTGCCATTCTGAATTCTTAATTCTCAGCTATCCATTTAGGGGTTTTCCACCTTCCGTTTTCATCTTTTTTGGTTCGCCATGTTTGTGTGGAAGAGTTAACGTTCTTGAAAGCGGTGACTTGCCAATTTCTCCACCAAACAATTGGCACGTTAGACACATTACATTACTGTATTCGTAATGGGTTTTTTTTTTTTTTTTTTTTGGGGGGGGGGGGGGGAGGGGATGGTTTGTTCTACGTGTATTTTGTTTTGTTTGTTTGTTTTTTTTATTTCTGTTCTTTTTTTAAATAGATATTGAAGTCTTCAATAAGAGAACGTACATGTATATATGTGCCATTTTAATTCTACAGATAAAAAAATCAAGAAATATTTTAATAGATAAATTAAATAAATAATTTTAAAAATATTTCAAAATCATTCCTACATGTAAATACAGAGACATATACATGTATGTCTCTGGTACATATATATGTACATTACAATTTAATAATAATAATAATAAATCGCTTACATTTTGAAAATCATTTGTACAATTTAAAGAATCATTAGAATGATTTAAATCGTTTCTACAAATTAGGAAATTTAAACAAATATGAACAGTTAACTCACTGGATGCTGTCATAAGACTGCATTACCCGACACCTGGAAAAAGAATTTCTATGTTCATTTTAAAAATTACTTCAGTTTTTGAGATGAAGTGAACTTACATGAATATTCTTAGAATGGTTTATCAATTAACGACACTCTTCTTTAAATCTGTGTCTATAAACAGGGCATGAGCTATGTTAATTTTAATGTTTATTAAATGTTTTACCGGGTGTGTTCAATTTCTTTACTGTGCAAACACTGACAATACTGGTGAGTTGGTTTTGCTTTCTCAAATTTCTACTCTGCATGAATTTTCTGAATTTGAGTCTAAACATTATTTTTTTATTTTACAAAACAACTTTTCTTCTTTTCTTAAGTATTTTAAAAGGATAAAAAATACACTGTGAAAGTGCAAGGATATTCATTTCATGCATTTCAGTGTGATTCTCGGTTCTTTGAAACTAAGTCTTAATTGGAAACGGTCTTATAAAAAGTTGATTTTTTGTATCCCATAAAAGTAATTACCTTCAACCAGTGTTTATTGCCATGATATGAAATTAGAAGTAATTCATGGTGTTTTGCAATGATAGGAAACGCTTTATACACTATGCATTATCAAAAAAAAAAAGAAGTAAATAGAAGAAACTGAAGTACCGTATACATGTACATGTAAATAAAATCATGCAATTTTCTTAAATGATTGGATACCTATAGTTTTTTTTTATCCTAAAATATATATATGTTGATCAATTATCAATTAGAAAAAGCACAATGCAGTGTGGGTGTTTTTATCTGCATTTCCTGAATATTTATTTGAGATTTACTATCATTCCTTATATATAGTATGATTAACTTTAAGTATTACCGTGGGTAAGTACACATTATGAGAATTCATAGATATTTTTGAGAGCATCTTTAACCTAGGATCGGATTACCTCAAGTGCTACTGATTTAAAACATTGGTGCAGAAACAATATTTGCAATGAGTAAAGGTTCCTTTGAAATTATTTTATCCATTAGTTAAATCTTTAAATAAACAAAGTTGGAAAATTTTATTTAAAAAAATAATGCATGTGTGAACGAAGAAAGACCATTAACCTCAATAAATAATTAAACAATATATTAAATTGTGATGTTTATATCACGTTGATATCCGGGTATCTTTAGAGGTCAATAACAAATCCAGAATAATAAATGTTAACATACAGAATCCGATGTATATCCAACATCAGACTTATTTCAGCAAATTTAAACTTCATGAGAGATCGTTAATGGACCCATTGAGCTGCATGTTTACTGTATATTTTAAATTGAATTGTAAAAGCTTAAGTTATGAAGATGAGATTTATCAATAAACTCTTCAATATCCTACAACAATGAAACATAACAGTGCATGCATAATGAATAGGCAGCATAAATGAATATTTTCAAAAAGAAGGACGTGCAGTTAAATTTATGCCAGCAAACAAATAAATATTAGATATTCCTGGAGCATTGCAAATAGTCGAGGATAGTGCATAACGGGAAAAAAACCATGTACTGTGAAAGGGCAACGAAAAAGCCGACTCGGAGATAGAGGATACATAATCACTGTATAATCGAGGAGACAAAAGATAATAGGAGGTACTGGAGGATTACCTTCAAAATTCCTGATCTGTGTTGAAAAACTGAACCATCGAAATGAAAGCATACCGTGTTTTGTTTATGATTTATTTAGAAACCATCAACTCCAGAAGCGCTGATGCATTTCAAACTACTTCAAGTTTCAAAAATGTAAAAGAGAACGTGAACAAATATCCCACGGTGAATGTTCTAGAAGAATTTCCAGGAACTGCTAGTGTTTCTAGATGTACGGCATTGTGTCTTCGTTATAATGAGAGTTCCTCTGTCTTTTACAATAATGACATTCAGATGTGTGTCTGTGCTGGGCAGGTGGAGACCAGCGACCTAACGCCTTCACCTGGATATGTTCAGTTTTCAAAAACTCAATCAGGTATATTTTGTAATACTAAAATATAATAATGCTCCTCTTATTGCATTTGGGAAATAAATCATCTTTAAATTTATATTTTATATAAAGACGACTTTGTCTGACTAAACTTTTCTAATGCTTCCGTATGTATCAAACACAAGTTCTAGAAAAAATTCTAAAATTAAACAATAGACCCTAATTACATGTAAAAGGAAATCATGTGCTTTGCATTGAAAATGAAAAATATTAAAGTTTCAGAGAGAGAGAGAGAGAGAGTGAGAGTTTATGTTCCTATTTTCTGATAGTCGCGAATAGAATTTACTGCTGCGCAAATTTTACGCCTTTCCATTTTTGGATAGAACACCTTTTCAAACAGACCGGTAGTGCAAAAGGGGGGGGGGGTCCCCACCCTACTTTTTGGGAGAATAGTCTTGCTATAGTTTAAATATAAAAATTCATTTATTGGCTGCTTGGTTCCTGAACATTTTGTTGCAGTATGGTCAAACTCTGGCAAATTTTGCATTTTAAAAAGTTTTACCGAAAAGTTAGAAAAAGACTCCCTTCGAGTTTAGGCAGTTTAGCTTTGTTTTCGGGGTGGGTGTTTTTTTGTTGTTTGTTTGTTTTGTTTTGTTTTGTTTTGTTTTTTTTTTTTTTTTGCTTGTCAATTTTTTGGGAGCCCCTCCCCCCCCCCCCCCCTTCAAAAGCACAGGCCTGTCAAAGGCATAATAATGGCTCTTCAAATGGCATAATGACGTCTTTTGAAAAAGGCGTAATAACGCCTTTTGAAAAGGCATAATAACGCCTTTTAAAAAGCCTAATTATAACCCATTTTTAGAAAGGCGTAATATTAACGCCTTTTGGAAAGGCCTAATAATGCCTTTAAGAAAGACGTAATAACGCCTTTGAAAGGCGTAATAAAGCCTTTTTGAAAGGCGTAATAACGCCTTTTAGAAAGGCGTAATAACACCTTTTGAAAAGGCGTAATAATGCCTTTTAAAAAATTTTTCTCCATAGATTGATCCTAATTGGATTTCGTACACTTTACTGTTCTTGAGAGGGTTTTAATTTTCTCAGTGTATTCTTATGAAAAAAATGACCACTCTTTGTGACCCCTTCCTATTCTGTTGGTCGTGATTTGAATAAGAAAAGAACTTTCCGAAGTTGATTCTATATTTTAAAATATGACTTATCATGACTTTGCTGTTCTTAAGAAGAATACTTTTTAAAAAAAAAATATTCCTGTGTAAAACTTTGATCGTCTATTGTGGGCACACACTACCCTAGCTATCCCCAGGGGTCATGTTTTGAACAATTTTGAATCTACACTACCTGAGACATCTTCGCTAGCCAAGGGTTTCTGATCCTCTACTCTCCTCACAAACCCTTGGCATACGGTGCAGTCAAAAGTTGGGATTTTTTACGACACGTGATCTCGAATCTTCCAACATACGCACAAATTGCGTCATCGACAAAAACAAAAGGCGTATTTGAAAATTGTAAGTTTTTAAAGAATAATTAACAAGAAGATATCGAGCAATGTTTATTTGTTATTTATCGTACAAATCTACATCAACAATAAGATTCCTAATCACAATATTTGTTCATCAGCTTATCTAGCCTAGTTCCGGCCTACCCATAATGCTACGTACTGTGCGTAGCATTATGGGTAGGCCGGAACCAGGCTACATGTTATCTTACGAATCGTTGTTTACTTGTGTTTTTCATTCTCGAGACTAAAGAATCAAAATATATCCCGAAGGCAAATATCATCATTTGCAAAAGCAATTGCTGATTGGTCGAACGATGTCGATCAACTCCAATCACAACTCGAGAAAAAACCCCAACTTTTAATAGCACCGTATGCCAAGGGTTTGTGAGGAGAGTAGCGGATCAAACACCCTTGGCTAGCGAAGATGTACCTGAGAATGTTTCAATATAAATATGACTAATCATGGTTTTGCTGTTCTTGAGAAGATTTCGAAGGTTATTTTCTATCTATTCTTATGTAAACTATGTAAAACTTTGTGACTCCACCCTCCCCGGGATCATGGTGTGAACAAATTCGAATCTTCACTACCTGAGAATACTCCCATATAAATACGACTAATCATAGTTTTACTTATCTTGAGAAGATTTTAAAAGTTTTTTGCATGTCTTTCCTTGGTAAAACTTTTGATCAACCAGTGTGCCCTGTTACAAATTGCAAATTAGAAACGCGCGTGCTAACGTATATATGTGTGTGTGTGTGTGGGGGGGGGGGGGGGTTATTTCGTTGATCAGTGTATCAGTTTGTTTTTGCTTTTTGATAGGTACGTGCCTGAAATTTAGAAAAGAAATCTTTTCTAATTTCATACCATGTATGTATACCAATGTACACATGCACGTCGTTCATGCATATCAAGAGTTTTTATTTGACCCATGGTCAATCTTTGGTAATTAAGAATGGCAGTGATGGATATATAATACAGACTGATTTATAAATAGACATGTCAATCAAAGTTAAGTTAATGTTTTATAAGTAT